TCTCAGGGGCAACCAGACCATTGTCTTACATTTCTGACAGAACAAAACAAACACACAGATTGAAAAAAACAAGACAAACTTTGCAAGCTTGGCCTTCTAGGAAATGTCCCTTGACCAGTAGTCCCTGGCCCCTTGGAGGGCTGCCTCTCTCTGGTGTGGCCGCAAGGAGAAGGTCCTCCCTGGTGCCTCATGTGGAAGAAGGGCTCAGGGGGCATTGCGGCAGGCGGTCAGTGCTCGGCTCCTTCCCGCACTCGCATGTCGTGGACTCCACTTTGTGGAATCCCCATTTCCTAAGGTTGGCTCTGCATCTCGTGGTGCCAGAGCGCAGTCTGTTCGGAGCCTTCCAAGTGGCCCCGTCTTCTTCTGTGTGCCCAGGGGGGAGTCTCTCATCTGGTATCAGCCATGAATTGAGGTGCTGGGTTTGAGCCTGCCACTTTTGGACTCTCGCTTGCTGAGGTCTCCGCCTCTCCTATCTGTTGACACACTCTTTGCCTGGCCCCCTAATTGGGGGAAGGGGGTTTCCCCACTCCTCCCCCAACCAGGCTCCTTCCTCGGGGCCACCACCCCTCCCTCCCTCCCTCCCTGCCCCTCCTTGAAAGGTCTGCTTTGGGCAGGGAAGGAAGGAAGGAAGGAAGGAAGGAAGGAAGGAAGGAAGGAAGGAAGGAAGGAAGGGGGGCTCCCAGGGGGAGGAATGAAGGGCTGCCGAGTGCCTGCCTGAGGGAGGGAGGAGGCCCCGTCTGCACTGCCGTATAACCCAGATTGCCAGGGCGGAGAATCCATCTTGTCTGTTATGAGCTGGATCACATGAGCCTGCACGGCCATTTGTGCTGATAAGTTCAAGTGGAGTGTGACGTTGGATGTGACCCTGCACCAGAAGGAAGAAGACATTGTTGACGGCTGATGCCTAAAGGGTGACCAAGGAAAGGTAGACAGAGCTGGCTGAAGGGAAGGGAAGGCGAGAAGCCCCTCTCGCGCCAGGCATTCCCACCTGGGCTTCCTCACGCTCACTTTCAAGGGCTCTGTTGGAGCCTGGAACCTGGCCAAACTGGCGACCGCCCCTAGGAGGAGTGTTGCCCATCAAGCGGTGTTTCATCCTTCCCTTCGCCCACCCTTCTTCCGTCTCAGGGAGAGAGCCTTCTCCGCTCTTGCATCCCGACTTGGGAATTCCCTGCCTGGTGAGCTTAGGCAAGGCCCTCCCTGAGCAGCTTTCAGGAAGGATCTCACCATCTGGCTTCCCCGGTGCGCCTTCCGAGAGTGACCACAGACCTCTTTCTTTATTTCTGGTTCTTGTCAGTGCTGTGTACTTTCATTGAAGACCATTGAAGGCAAAGGGCAAAGTGTTCTTCACAAGGTCCATCCACAGGTCATCAGGAATTGGAGAAAAGTAAGGTCTCGCTGGAGATGAAGAACAATAGCCTAGTGCTGTAGCAGGGGAAGAAGGGAGAAAGACTGGCCCAACTCAGGAGAGCCAACTGCCCAAGAAAGAAAAACCTCTGTTGAGATACAAAGGGGATGAAGGCGCAAGATTCTGTGTATGAGAGATTTCTTGCACTGCAGTGTGTTCAGAGTGTAACTCAACTTTTGTAAAGAAAGAGCTCTAACACTACGGGCAGCGCAGAAAGGTCTAAGGTTGCAAAGCATTTCCTGCCTGGATCCCGCTTCCTCACATCCCCACTCAGAATTTGAGTGCCCACCTGTGTGGGCAGACCATCCCAACTTTATTTTTCTACCCCGCCTCCATCTCCCCAAAGGGACTCAGGGCAGCTTACACGGGGCCAAATACAATTAAAAGCAAGCAATAAAAAATTAAAACAGACTAAAACAGCATAACAATAATAACAAGCATTTTTGGAGGGGGGGGAGGAGGACCACTATGCAAGCTGGATTGAAGGATAAGGTGGTTCAATAAGGTGGATTGCAACGTATAATAGCATAGGAAATAACATGGGAACAGTGCAATTTAACAGGATCGATTCAACTTAAACTTAAGGGTATATATGATAATTAAATATAGGAATTCAAAATCAGGCCACAATTCAGGTCCTGATAGAAGTCATTTATCAAAGGAGTCGTCAATCGAAGGCACAACAAAACATCCACGTCTTTAATTCCTTACGGAATGTGGATAGGGAGGGTGCCAGCCTAATCTCCCTGGGAGGGAATTCCAGAGACGAGGGGCCACCACCCAGAATGCCCTTTCCCTCATCCCCACCAACTGTGCCTGAGACGGGGGTGGGAGCGAGAGAAGAGCATCCCCGGAAGATGTTAAGGACCGTATGGGCTCGTAGGGGAGGATGCGGTCACACAGATAGGCAGGCCCTGAACCGTTTAGAGCTTTATAGGTAACAACCTGCACCTTATTTATTTTATTTATTATTTATTTATTATTTGAACTTCTATGCGGCCACTCCCCTGGGGCTCGGAGCGGCTTACAAAAATGGCTAAAATCTAACACAATTTTAAAGCAATTTAAAACAATTTAAACACAGCAGTATCAAACATTAAAAGCCTGTCGAAACAGGTATGTCTTACATGCCCTGCGGAAAGCTGGCAAGTCCCGTAAGGCACGGACTTCAGGTGCCAGAGTATTCCAGAGTGATGGTGCCACTGCTGTGAAGGCTCTGCGCCTGGTTGCTGTTAGACGCAAGGTCTTGACACTGGGGACTTCCAATAGATCTTGGTCCTCAGAACGGAGGGATCTCTGGGGTTGGGAGGGGGTGAGGCGGTCCGTCAGATACATTGGCCCCAGACCATGCAAGGCCTTCAAGGTGAGTACCATCACTTTGAAAGTGATCCGGTGCTCAATGGGTAACCTGTGCAGCTGTAGTAAGATTGGTGTTATGTGGCATCTCATTGGAATTCCCGCAAGAAGCCGAGCAGCTGCGTTTTGTACCAACTTGAGCTTCCGAATCACCGACAGGGGAAGGCCAATGTAGAGGGCGTTATAGTAGTCCAGTCTTGAGATGACCATGGCCTGGATCACCGTAGCTAGGTTGTCCCTGGACAGGTAGGGGGCCAGCCCTTGAATTGGGACCGGAAACTTATCGGCAGCCGGTGAAGCTGTTTAAACAGGGGTTGACCGCTCCCTGTAACTTGCTCCGGTTAACAATCTGGCCACCGACCTTTGAACCAACAAGGTCACACTCCCCCTGTCAAGTTCTCTGCGGAGGTCATCCACCAAGGTGGCCAAAGCCGTCTCAGTACCATGACCAGGCCTGAAACCAGACTGCGATGGGTCCAGAAAATCGGTTTCGTCCAGGAATCCCTGGAGCTGAGAAGCAACCACTCGCTCCAGAACCTTGCCCAGAAAAGGGAGATTTGAGATTGGCCGATAGTTGTTCAATATTGCCTGTTTTAGGCATGGTGGAATTTGCCCTTGTTCCAATGAAGCATTGATTATCTTTTACTATCAATCAGCCAACCCTTCTCCGGCAAGTTTTATAAGCCACGACGGGCAAGGGTCTAGTGTGCATGTGGTCGCCCTCACCGCTCCAAGGATCCTGTCCACGTCATCAGGCTGCACCAGTTGAAATGAATCCAATAAGACTGAACTGACAGGTGCCTTTGTTACCTCACCTGACACTGTAGAAAAGTTGGCGACCACATCGGAGCGTATCCGAGGGACTTTATCTGCAAAGTGATGCGCGAACTGTTGCATCGAGTGATTGGATTGTCAAGGGGCTCCTCCATCCCAGGAGGGTGAAGGAGCCCCCCGACAACCTGAAACAACTCAGATGGTCTGTTTTTTGCAGACACGATGCGGACAGTCAAGGAAGATTTCTTGGCTGCCCCCAAAGCCGCAGAGTAGGCCTTAATAGAGGCTCTAACCCGTGTTTGGTCGGGAACACTCCGAGATTTCCGTCTTTAGCGCTTCATCAATGCCAGCTCCTCAGTAAACCAAGGCGCCTCAGTTTCAGCATCACTGCTCCCAATGTTTTCTTTCAAGAGAGTGGAAGGCCACCCTCTCCCTCTTTGCCTCTCCTATCTGTCG